CCCTCCCCACAAACAAACAGCGACATCAAGCCGGACAACATCCTCATCGATCGCGAGGGGCACCTGAAGCTGACGGACTTCGGCCTGTGCACGGCCTTCGACGAGGAGGAGGTCGACGCGTCGTCCGAGGCCGCGGAGAAGGCCGGCGACGCGGCCTTCCCCTCGCACACGCGGCTCTATCGCCAGCACCGGCCCCCCTCGGATGTGGACCTGCGCGAGGATGCCCAGCGCAGCGAGCTGGCCCGGCAGCTGGACTACCGGAAGCGCGCGCGCGAGCTGGCCTTCTCCACCGTCGGGTCGCCGAACTACATCGCCCCGGAGGTCCTGACCCGGGTGGGCTACGGCAAGGAGTGTGACTACTGGAGCACCGGCATCATCATCTACGAGATGCTCTTCGGCCGGCCGCCCTTCAGCGCCACCAGCGACCGGGTGACCTATTGGAAGATTGTCCGGTGGCAGGAGTTCCTGGAGATCCCGAGCCACTTGCCGCCGCCGCACCAGCACCTCCAGCAGCAGGGCGGCGCCCCGGCGGCCGGGCCGCTCGGGGTGACGGACCGCGCCACGCGCGACATCCTCAGCCGGCTGCTGTGCGACGCCCCGTCGCGGGTGCAATCCTTCGCGGCCATCCGCGCGCACCCCTTCTTCCTGGGGGTCGATTGGAGCGGGCTCCGGGCCCGGGCCGGGCCCTATGCCCCGCGCCTGGCCCATGAGACTGACACATCGAACTTCGACAAGCTGGAGGCCACTTGGGTGGTCCCCGGCGACCCGGGCAGCTCGCCGAATGACGCGGCCGTGCCGAATCTCACCGGCCCGGTGGACTGCGAGGACTCCCGGCGACAGCTTCCCTTCGTCGGGTACACCTTCAAGCGCGCGCCGCCGGGGCTGTCCATGGCCGAGCTGTCGGCCTTTGCCGATGGCAGTGATCCCGCCCTGCTGGCCAGCCTCTCGGCCAACTCCTCGCCGTCGGCCTCGCAGCGGGCGTCGGCCATGTCCCTGCACCGGCAGTTTGAGAGTCTCTCCGTGGCCGGGGGCGCCTCGCCAGCCTCGCCGCCGGAGTAGCCTGCCGGGGCGGAGGACGCACCTCCGGAAATGAGCACCCGCCGGATCCGGGAGGGGGGGGGGGGACCAGCCAAGATGGGCCAAAGGGGCAGCGGGAAGAGGGAGGCTCCGGGCACACGTCGGCGGGTCCTCGAGGGCGGGCGAGCCGGCTCCAGTCTTGTGCCCATGCTCCTCCGCCCTCCGCCGCCTCCTCCGGCCTCGGACCG